TTTTAGTAGAGACGGGGTTTCACCATGTTGACCAGGATGGTCTCGATCTCTTGACCTCGTGATCCACCCGCCTCGGGCTCCCAAAGTGCTGGGATTACAGGCTTGAGCCACCGCGCCCGGCCCTTAGGTCTTTGCTATTGTAAACAGTGCCGCGATGAACATATATGGTGTGCATGTATCTTTCTAATACGATTTATAATCCTTTGGGTATATACTCAGTAATGGAATTGCTGGCTCAAATGGAATTTCTATTTCTATATTCTTGAGAAATCACCACACTGTCTTCCACAATGGTTGAACTACTTTACACTCCAACCAAAAGTGTAAACATGTTCCTATTTCTCCACATACTTTCTGGCATCTGTTGTCTTCAGATTTTATAGTGATTGCCATTCTAACTGGCATGACATGGTATCTCAATGTGGTTTTTATCTGCATTTCTCTAATGACCAGTGATGATGAGCATTTTTTCATATGTTTATTGACTTCATATATGTCTTCTTTTGAAAAGTATCTGTTCATATCCTTTGCCCACTTTTGGATGGGTTTGTTTGTTTCTCGTGAATCTGTTTTAGTTCCTTGTAGAGTCTGGATATTAGCCCTTTGTCAGATGGGTAGATTGCAAATATTTTTTCCCATTCTGTTGGTTGCCAGTTCACTCTAATGATTGTTTCTTTTGCTGTACAGAAGCTCTGAAGTTTAATTAGATCCTGTTTGTCTATTTTGGCTTTTGTTGCCATTACTTTTGGTGTTTTAGTCATGAAGTCCTTGCCTATGCCTATGTCCTAAATGGTTTTGCCTAGGTTTTCTTCTAGGGTGTTCATGGTGTTACGTCTTATATTCAAGTCCTTAACCCTTCTGGAGTTAATTTTAGCATAAGGTGTCAGGAAGGGATCCAGTTTTTGCTTCTGCACATTGCTAGCCAATTTTCCCAACACCATTTCTTAAACAGGGGATCCCTTCCCCATTGCTTGTTTTTGTGAGGTTTGTCAAAGATTAGATGGTTCTAGATATGTGGTTTTGCTCCAGAGGCCTCTGTTTTGTTCCATTGGTGTGTGTCTGTTTTGGTACCAGTACCATGCTGTTTTGATTACTATAGCCTTGTAGTATAGCTTGAAGTCTGGCAGCGTGATGCTGGCAGCTTTGTTATTTTTGCTTAGGATTGTTTAGGCTATGTGGGCCCTTTTTTGGTTCCACATGAAGTTTAAAGTGGTTTTTTCCAATTCTGTGAAGAAGGTCATTGGTAGTTTGATGAGGATAGCATTGAATCTATAAATTACTTTGGGCAATATGGCCATTTTCACGATATTCATTCTTCCTAACCATGAGCATGGAATGTTTTTCCATCTATTTGAGAAGTATACACTTCTTTCTTTCCTAATAAATAGCACTTATATAGTTTTAGTCAGTGTTTGCTAATGGATTAACACTAATACAAGTCTGCATAGAATATAAACAATTTAACTGAAACACTAAGCATTTAAAGTTCTAAATATTCTATGGTCTATTGCACTGTAGTATAAAGGCAGTTATACTTTCACTTTTTTTCTGGGCCATCGAATTCTATCTGTGAGTATATTTTTGGTTAGAAAATTTCTGTTTTGAAATAAGGTGGGCAGGAGTTTGAGAACAGTCTAGCCAGCATGGTGAAACTCCATCTCTACTGAAAATACAAAAATTAGCCTGGTGTGGTGGCACACACCTGTAGTCCCAGCTACTCAGGTGGCTGAGGAACAAGAATTGCTTGAACCTGGGAGGCAAGTTTGCAGTGAGTCAAGATCATGCCACTGCACTCCAGCCTGGGTGACAGTGCAAGACTCTGTCTCAAAAACAAAACAACAACCCAAAAAACCCAACTACAACAACAAGAAAAAAACATGGCTGGGCACAGTGCTTCACACCTGTAATCCTAGCACTTCAGAGGCTGAAGCAGGAGGATTGCTTGAGTTCAGGAGTTTGAGACCTGCCTGGAAAACACAGTGAGACCTCATTGCTACTAAAAATAAAAAAAATAAAAAATTAGCTGGATGTGGTGGCACCTCTAGTCCCAGGTACTGGGGAGGCTGAGGAAGAAGGAGATCAAGCCCAGGTGATTGAGGCTGTAGTGAGCTATAATCATGCCACTGCACTGCAGCCAGGGCAACAGAGTGAGACCCTGTCTCCATATAGACAGATAGACAGAAACCTTCTTTCTTTACTTACTGGCTTTCTGTGCCTTTGAGTCACGTAATATATGATCACTCAAGTGACAAAGGGCATGCATGGTAAGGTGGATTTCTATCATAAAAATATACCCAGTTAAACTCTAGTTGACACATTATTAAAGATTCAGAAAGTATAGATAAAATTTTAAATATGAAACTTACTTTGAGATAAATGTAGATTCCCAAGTACTTGTAAGAAATAATATAGAAAGATCCTGTGTACCCTTTAACTAGTTTTCTTCAGTGGTAATGTCTTGCATAACCACTGGGTACAATATCACAACTAAGATGTTGATATTAAAAAATTCAAGATACAGAACATTTCCATCATCACAGTGATGCCTCTGTTGCCATGTTGTACAGACATACACACTTCCTCCTGTCACCGCATTCTTCCACACCTTCCTTAATGTCTGGTGACCAGTATTCTCCATTTCGGTGATTGTGTCATTTTAAGAATGTAAATGACATATAAGGTATAATCTTTGGAGTTTTTACTTCCTTCACTTAGTATGGTTTTCTGGAGATTTGCCCAGGTTGTTTTATTTAGCAATTGTTTGTTTTTTATTGACAAGTAGTACTCCAAGGTATAGATGTACCACAGTTTAACTATTTACCCATTAAAAGACACATGGATTGTTTTCCATTTGTGACTGTTATGAATGAAACTGCTATAAACAGTCATGTACATATTTCTTTGTGAATATTCTTTTTTTCTGGGATAAATGCCCAGGATTGCAGCTGTATGGTGTTTACGTGCTTAGTTTTTTTTTTTTTTTTTTTTTTTTTTTTTTTTTTTTTTTTTAACATGGAGTCTCTCTCTGTCACCCCAGCTAGAATGTAAGGGCACAATCTCGGCTCACTGCAACCACTACCTCCTGGGAAAAAGGGATTATCCTGCCTCAGCCTCCCGAGCAGCCAGGGTTGCAGGTGCATGACACCACCTCTAGCTAATTTTTGTATTTTTAGCAGAGACAGGGTTTCACCATGTTGGCCAGGCTTGTCTCAAACTCCTGACCTCAAGTGATCTGCCTGCCTTGGTCTCCCAAAGTGCTGGGATTACAGGTGTGAACTACCACGTCCAGCCCACCACGGGAGTTTAAAGGGCAGTCATGCTGGTTCCAGCCTAAGGCAGCATTTTCCCCTATCAGAAGACCGCAGCTCCTGCATCTCAGGATAGGGCACCTGTAAGTCAGTCAGCAAACTCTCTGCTCCAACTGGCTACTGGGGCCATTGTCTTCTGACACAGCCTGGCCAGGAGGCCTGCCATCTGCAAAAGGGAGTTCACTCCTTCTGCTGTTTTTATATGAGTGTATCCAATTTCCTCGATAACCTCCAGTTTCAGGTGTTCTGTCATTTGGAAAGTTTTACACACTTGAAAGATGTTACCAATGATACCTTCTGGTGAGTAGCGCAGATGCCACAGGTGAGCAAGAATCTTGCAGGCTTCGTCGGTGTTGGCATTCACACAGTGCTGGATCATTTCCTTCATCAGCAGTGGGTGGGGCTCTTCACAGACCATAAACACATTCTCACTGTTAATGAAAGCAAATCCTGCCAGGGTGGACTGCAGGTTGTTCCGCACCTGCCTCATGTCTCCGTGGGCGGTGAAGATGATGGCTTCCAAGCCGTCATCAGTGTGGGGCACCCTCTCCTTCTTGATAACATTCATCAGCCTGGCAAGGATCTGGGCATTGGTCAGCTTCGGGTAGTGGAGGTCAGCACAGTGGGACTGAATGGGCTCGATGATCTTATCCGAAGTGTTACAAGCAAGGGCACTGGCTCCCTCAGTCATGCTGTGTGCTTCATACTGAATGATGATCTTATGTCGGCCTTTGGGAAGGGTGACTTTTGGTTGAGCAAACATTTTAATTTTATTCCTCACAACTCACTGCCCCTGTCATTTGAAGTAGTGAGTTCCAACACGGCGTCTTTGAGTGCTGGGTCCAGCAGGGCTCGTCCCAAGCACAGAATGTGTGTAGTCTTGTCAGTTCCTGGTGGGCCTGCAGTGATGATATTGGGCACATTCCCTTCCCCTGCAAAGACCTCTAGACTGCTCACTGTGTCTTCATTCCCAACGCACTGCCGGGAGCCTTGCTGGAGGCAGGGTCAGTGTCCTGGGCCTCCCGCTGGCCCATGCTACCACCACCACCAGCCTCCGCCTCCATTCTTGTGTCCGCATGCTTAGCTTTTTAAGAAACTGCCATACAGTTTTCCACAGTGTCCTATTTTATATTATCACCATAAACGTACAAGTGATCCAGTGGTTTCACATTCTCACCAGCATTTGGTGTAGTCAGCTTTTGTTTTTTTTATTTTAGCCATTCTGAGAGCTTTGTAATTATGTTGTACTGTGGTATTAATTTTTCCTACTGGTTAATGATGTTGAGCATCTTTCTAGGTACTTATTTGCCATATGTACATCATCTTCAGCTCAGCAAAATTATTATTCATGATTTTTGTCCATTTTCGAACTGGATTTTCAACTTTTTGACTATTCAGTTTTTAAGAGTTCTTTATATGCTTATGTATCTGATATGTAATTTGAAACTATTTTATCTCAGGTTATAGCTGATCTTTTCATTGTCCTAATAGAGAAAGAGGATCTCTTGCAGAGCAAAAGTTTTTTAATTTTGATGATGTATCATTTATCAATTTTCCTGATTTGGAGCATGCTTTTGGTATCAAATCTAAAAGTTGTATAGCCCTAGATTCGAAGATTTTGTGCTTTCTTCCTGCAAGTTCATAGTTTTATGTTTCAAATTTAGGATCTTTCAATCTCTCTGCCTTTTCTTTTTCTTGACTTAATTGTACAGACTCGTACTTCTAGCACCATTTTGAATAAAAGTGGGAAGAGTCACCTCCTTGTACTGTTCCTGATCTTTGGAGGAAAGCATTCAGTTTTCTACCATTAAACATAATGTTAGCTGTAGGTTTTTAGTAATTGCACTTTATCAATTTTGGGGTATTCTCTTCTGTTCCTATTTTTCTTAGTATGTTTATTATGAATGGGTATACAATTTTTGTTGAATACTTTCTCTGCATTGATATGATTATGTGATTTATTTTCTTTAGCCTGTTGGCCGGGCGTGGTGGCTCACACCTGTAATCCAAGCACTTTGGAGGCCAAGGCCGGCGGATCACCTGAGGTCGGGAGTTCAAGACCAGCCTGACCAACATGGTGAAACCCAGTCTTAAAAAAAAAAGTCTTTAGCCTGTTAATATGATTACATTCATTGATTTTCAAATATTGAACCAGCCTTGCATCCCTAAAATAAGCCTCACTTGGTCACAGAATCATGGAGTATAATTCTCTTTATATATTGTAAATTCTATATGCTAATATTTTGCTGATTTCTGTATGCATATTCATGAAGCACATTCACCTGAAGAGTTCATTTTTTTCTACATTTTTGCCTGTTTTTGGTATTAAAGGGTATCTTTTTATGTTCTGGCTGCTGTAACAAAATACTTTTGATGGGGTATCTTAGAAACAACAGAAACTTATTTGTCACTGTTTTGGAGGCTGGAAAGACCAAGATAAGGTGCCAGTGGTGTCTGCTGAGGGGCCACCCCTCATGAATAGGGCCCTTTAACTGTGTACTCACAGGGTGAAAAGGGCAAGCATGCTCTGTCAGGCTTCTTTTCCAAGGGGACTGATTGTGTTACTGAGGGCAGAACCGTGGGCTTCTTCCAGGAACACATGGCTTGTTCGGTATTTGAAAATCAGCTAATATAGCTGGCCATATTAATAGGCTAAAAGAGAAAAATAACCATACGCATTTGACAAAATTTCATACCCATTCATAATTAAAACTTAAAAAGAAAATAGAAGCTGGGCACAGTGGCTCACGCCTGTTATCCAAGCACTTTGGGAGGCCGAGGCAGGTGAATCACATGAAGTCAAGAGTTCAAGACCAGCCTGGACAACATGATGAAACCTCGTCTCTTCTAAAAATACAAAAAATTAGCCAGGCGTGGTGGCGGGTGCCTGTAATCCCAGCTACTCTGTAGGCTGAGGCAGGAGAATTGCTTGAA